ATTGTCACCGCGTATTTGATCATTATTTACTAAATTTTGACTTCATCATAACCATTGATATGATGCATCCAATGGTACACAATTATTCTTATTTCTTTCATTATTTCTTATTCTCATTTGAACACACAATCGTATTCGTCAAAATTCTATATTTTGGATAATTAAAGCACCTATCTCACTTGAAAGCACTGCAATCAGATTCCCCAGAAAGCAACTCTGCTTCTTCTCTCAAAATGTCTATTAGATTCAGACATTGGAAGTTGGGAATTGCAGGTAAAGTCAAATTTTTCAGTTGGAAATGCTTAACTAATATCCTTCCAGTTTTTGTTCAAATAAAGAAGAGGGGTATGGATCTGGATCTTACATGTGCTTCTTGTGGTGAGGACAAGGAAACTCTTGAACACCTTCTTTTCAAATGCTCTAGAGCTAAGAAAGTTTGGGAACTAAGCCCTGTGCAATGGGATGGCCTTGAAGACGTAACAGATTCATTTCCAGATTGGTGGTATCAAGTCTGCTCTCTTGATCACTCCAAGGTGGCCGAAGCTAGAATTCAACTCTCCACGTATTTGCTTTGGTGGCTTTGGAAGTCTAGGAATCTCTGGATTTTTCAAAAGGCTCTAATTCCTGAACATACTTTGGTGCAGCTGGCTCTCTCTGATTGGCACCAATATAGTGCTGCCGTGGGATAGTTTAGTGGTTCTCTTGTTTTTTTCTTCTATAGATAGTTAGTTTGTTGGGTTTTTGTTTGCTGGAGGTAACTCATTGCTAGGTCTTCGGGCAGTGGTAAGGGGTTACCTCTTTTTCTGTTTCTTTTTCTTCTCTTGTTGGTGTGTTGTTTTGGTTGTTTGGTAGTTTGGTTTGGCTGTTTTGTTAGTTGAGGTTCTAGACCGTCTTTGGCGTGTCTCTCAGTTTTATTTTCTTTGGGAAGTTGTACATCGTTGTATTCGAACGTTGTTCACCTTTCTTTTTAATATAGTTGCTTCTATCGTTTCGGGAAAAAAAATATAATTTTATTCAAGTGTCATATGAAATGTCAATCAGACATGACTATTACCATAACTCAATAAAATAATGTTATTTAAATCAATTACTAGTACACCTCCCGTGAATTATAATAGTGCTAGTTCTTTTTCTTTTTTTTTTTTGCCAGAACAATAGAGAATCTATTAAGAACGAAACATACAAATGTGCGAATAAAAGTACAGAGCTCCCAACGGGAGAAGAAATAACAACCAAAGGCTGAATAAAATGGGAGGACAAGTTAGACGACCGCCTAGAATCCCGACTCTAGCAACGCTAGAAACCTAAAAAAAAAAAAAATCAAACACAATAAACACAAATAAAAACTACAATGCCCCCAACAGGAGAATAGAGATATGAGTTGATCCCAACAGGATAATAATGATGCTCCTGCTAACGCTTACAGAGGCCAACGACCCAAACCAAAACCACATGAACAAAAACCACACAAACACTCACATCCAACCAACAGAAAAACTAAACAACCAAACAAAAAAAACACCCAAGCCCTTCTACAAAAGCCAATCCGAGGCAAAACAACAACCACCAAATCAACCCCAGAGGATTCTCTTAGCCTGAGAAGGCTGACCCCTCCACTGCCAAATTGCCTAGTTGAGCCGAATCCCAAGCATTGGAAAACCCCCAAAAGGCCAATTCTCTCCGAGCCGGAAAACTCTAGAAAACACCCAACGCCGTAGTATCAAGCCGACTAATACCACTAGTAACTCGATACCAACAATAAACACTCCAATACCTAACTCCACTAGCAACACGCCGATCCGCAAGAAACCCTGGACCCAGCGCCAGAGAACCGAGAGAGGGAGTCGAGCTGAAAAGTAGCCCTAGCCACTCCAGCTAGAAGCCACAAGCCGCCGAAGCTGCACCCCACCATTTTCGGTTAAGGATTTTATATATTAGATCGGTTATTATTTTTAATTTTATAATTTTGATTATTTTGGCATGAATTTGGCTTTAGTTTTAAAATAACCGAAATAATTGAAACAACCAAACTGTATAAAAAAATATTATTTTTATATTAAATATATTAATTTTTTCAGCCAAAAAAATATTTTAAATACAAAATATAATTTTATAATATACTATCATATTTTATTTCAATTATATTTTTTAATTCAATTAACCAAGAGACTATACATATTATTTCAGATCGATTTTATTTTGATTTGGGCAAAAGTATGATCGGTTCGTTTTCCAAAAGTTTGACTCGATTATTTCGATTGGTTGGTTCGTTCAATGAACAACCCTAAGCGCGGGGGCATTTTTGCCAAATTGTGAACTTCTAAATGTGTAGGCGGTCGGAATTCTATAATTCCGTAAAAAAATGTTATGTGGTTTCCTAATGTGCATGTCCTTACGCAATATTGTGCATCTTATGTATCATTATTGTGCATGTATTGATCTTTCATTCTATTATAGATTTTACTCAAGCACTAAAGTGTAAATATATTAAAAGTCAAAAATTACATATGAGTCCCTGAACCTGCCTATTTTTCATTAAAATCCCAGCCACAGGAAAAAAAATTTTCCTTCCTTCACAGATGATTCAACACCGGCTCTTCATTGTTGACATGGTGGTTGTCGCTATGAAGGCTAGCTTGGCGACTGACTAGATGAACATCACAAATCGTCGAGTGTCTAGCGATGCCTGGTACTCCGACGAGTACATTGACTAAGTCAATCTACTAGCGGCAGGCGATAGCTCTGCGAAACTCATTCTCCGGCTATTCCTCGACAGAGGTCCTGGACTCTCCTGCGGTCATCTCGACAACGTCCGACATATTGGAGGAGGATTTTGTGGCCCCAAGCGGCGGCTCATAGGCGGCGGCGGAACACCATGGCAGTGCGTCGAAGCAAAACCTGTGTGGGTCAAGGCGGCCATCGATGATGACGTTCATCGTGGCGAATATGGAGAATTCCAGGCGAATGGTACTGCAAACAACTGGCGTGAAGCTTGGTTTCGGCGGGGCGATAGATCTGGCTCGTCGACGCTCTACACGTCAGCTTTTCCGTTGAAGTCTCCTATGTCGCAGTTGTCTCTGGTGGCAGCAGGCGGATGTGAAAGGTTGGTGGCGACAGACATGAATTTGTGTGCGTGTGTGTGCGTGTGATAGATGTTAGGGTTGGTGGGTTGGGGTTCGGCCCGCTGAGTGAGTTGTAAATGATGAGTCGTCAAATGTATATATTTTACTACAATATGTAACCTAGCTATGATATTCGGAAATATCATTGCTATTACTCAGACAAGCATGAAACGTATGCTTGCAAAGTGGATGATTGACTCATTCCATACTAGAAAGAATCGCAGGAAATCCTTTGATAACGCGGATTCCTATTTCTCAATGCTATTCCAGAATCAAGACTGATACCGTCACCGCGTATTTGATCATTATTTACTAAATTTTAACTTCATCATGACCACTGATATAATTGATCCAATGATATACAATTATTCTTATTTCTTTCATTATGTCTCATTCTCATTTGAACTCACAATCCTATTTGTTACAATTCTGTATTTTTTGGATTATTATATAATTTGACTCAAGTGTCATATCAAATGTCAATCATGACTATTACCATAAGATAATAAATACTTTCTTCTTTAAATCAATTACTAGTACACCTCCTGTGAATTATAATAGTGCTAATTCAAAAGTTCATATTTTATTTCTAAAAAAAAATAAAAAGATATTTTTAATTAAATTTAAATAACAAATATTGCATTATTATTTAAACTATTATTATTTATATTAAAATGAGACTCTTCATTTGTACAATTTACCTATGTTATATTATAATATTTTTTTAATTCATATCTATTTACTTTATATATAACTTTTTAATTGATATTTAGTTTTATTAATATTCAGTTAGTATTAGCAGATAATTTAGTTTTCATAATAAAGATAAATAAAATTACTTATTTACTTTATACATGCAATATGGTTGTCAAATCATAGCTCATCAGCAGATAATAAACTTGATATATCATATATAAAAAAATTTATAACAATAAAAATAGTTATTTAACTTTTAAAGTTTAAAAGTTATTTAACTTTTAAATTTTATTTATAAATTAAGTTAGCCAAATGTTTTATAGTTTTAAAAATCCTAATAGGTATAGATAGAAAGTCCAAATCTAGGTGGACTACTTAAAAAAAAATAAATAAATAAATAAAAATTGATGCATAAGATTACAAAACACATGTAGGATTACAAACACCATAAACTGGACTTAAGAAACTCTACATTTAGGGGGTGTACTTATTTCATTTCATATTTTTCCCTTATTCCCATAACACTTCCATGTTTATTTCATTCTTATTTATTACATCTTTAATTTATATGTAAGGGGTTATCCATATTTCATTTCATGTTTATTTCTTTCTTTTTTTATTACATATCTTTGCTTAATCATATTATTTTTTCAATTATTCTCTCTAGTATCTTTATTTCACTCATTTAAAAAGATATAATATTGCCTTTTTATATTTATATTCGTTTAAAATCTAATAGAAGAAATAATTATCCAAACTTCTACATGCATAAATATGTCACAATTCTTCTCTATTTATTTAAGACATGTTTTTGGTACTATATTATTATACTAGTACAACACAGTGTCATGTGTTCGTCAAGAATATATTTTTAAATTTGAAAATTAATGAGAATTCTTTTAAAACTTAAATAATTTTTATAAAAAATATATATTATTATATATTTTAGAATGACACTTGTTCATGTGTATAATAATTTTTTTCTAATTTATACATTATAACTACTTTAAACATAAATATAAGAATTGTTAAATAATATTATTTTTCTATTTAATGTAAATAAATAATTTTCTTATTATATTTACAAACAAAATAATTTTTGGAGTAGTTGAAGAAAATTAAAATTTATTCGAGCAATTCCCAACAAAATGCACTGCTTACATTTATACAAGCAAACTAGTCTTAACGGAAGGCATGGTCATAGTCATGGTACCGGAAATTCTTGTAAATAAAATTCGACAGCCACTTTGAAGCTATAAAGCACAGAACGGCAACAGAAACCACAATGTATCTTGCAGAAACAGAGACTATGCCCTGTTTGGCGGCTGCAACTAATCCGATTGCAGAAATCGAGATAATCTGCATGGCTATCTCAAGCACGTTCAGATACTTGTGCGCGATACTGCAGCTGCTACAACTAACTGTATGAGACCAGTACCTGAGATCATATAAGAGAACACATCATATTTCATTTCATGGTGTCGGGTATAGCTCCCTAACTTTTCAACTCAACTATTAAACCGAATGGGTTCTCCGAATTTTCAAGATGTTCTTTTGAATTCTCATAAAGTGCATTTTGTAACCTTGTTATTAAATTAGGTAACATATCCTTAGCAGTACCTGTGTTCCTTTTGAGGAGTACAATAGAACATTATCTAATACAACACTAATCATATACTGATAATATTCCTAACTCTTATTTATATCTCTCTCTTCTCATGATTATCTTAATACTATTACCATCAGTTTGTCCAGATTTCATGATTACATGAATAAGTAGGACAAAACTGGAACAAGGTCAAAAAACGTTTGAAACGACATTTTATTTTGTAGTAGGGTATAAGGGTTAGTAACAAATACCCCTCCTATTGATAGTGCAGTATGTGAAATACTAAACCGAGTATGAAGAGGGAATTTTGTTAATTAGACATAAGTATCAGTGTTCAAAAAGAAACAAGAAGAAAGAATATGCTTCTTCCTTTAAATTACCTGTCAAACAGCTGCTCTCTAGGAGGAGTGGGTGGCAATAATCCGCTAAATTTATTTCCCCAGTCAACTTTCGTCCCTCCATACTTGTTTAACCACCTTCTGAATGCGACCACAAGAGCATCCGCCTTTGTTGGAACATAGCAAGAATTATTCCAATTGAGGGGACCAATATCCGCCAATTTGCGCTCCTATTAGAGTGCATTTATCGAACTATAAATGTTTAATCCCCATATACTTATTTTTTATTCATGAATAGACATATAAGAACAAAGTTTATTTATTTTTTATTTTTTTTTACTTTAAAGTACAGAGGTAAAAACTATCAATATCATATGAATACAAAATTTCATCAGCGATTATTCCAAAAAGAACACAAAGAAAAACGAGATTAATTTTACCTCAACATGGAGAAGATAGAGATCGGAATCTAAGACTAAGTTTTGCCCAATATGAAATATCCAACGTGGGAAAATTCTTTCTATCAAGACTGCAAAGTTTCTTGGGGATGCAAATATCAATCTGCTATGACCAGGGCTGACCGGAATACAGTAGAAAATAAGCAGAGCTCTTCTGTCTGGGGGAACGGCTGATGACAACACCTGCATTAAAGAAAGCATATACTGCTAAATGTGCAGAGAAGTGCGACTGTATAAAAGCACAGTTACAAGGACCTCCATGATGTTTCTTTTTTACAGATAGCTCCAAAGCCCTCATGGTTATACATTAGATTACTTGTAATTTTGAAAGATAATTTCTTTCGTTTTTAAATTAGAATACGTCAGGATACATATAATTATCCTGAAAATATAACTTCAAAAGTACTTACACCAAATTTTGGAGTTGATGACGTCTTATTTGTGGTTTGACCCCCTCCAGGACTGAAATAGCCATAGTAGAGACAAGGTGGAATGAAATAGTTTTCCCCGAAAATCTGCTTTGCAGTGAACCCATTTATATCTAGTTTCTTAACGCTTATTTCGAGAGGTCTACCTCCTTCCCTGTCGGCCTTCAAAGTGCACGACACATTACCGTTAGCCACAAGAAACCTTTCATAAGATAATATTTGAAGCACAAGTCTATTACTTATCTCTCGGGTACTTTTGCCATTCTCATAATGCCATAATGTGCATATGGGACATGAGCAGGGTCCATAAGATTTTCAATTAGAATTTCATACCTGAAAAGGTAATCAACATAGGAATCAACTACCATATGAAGGTGACATCCAATTTGAAGATTTTAAAAATAACAATTCGTTCCCTCATTACAAAAGTTCCGCATCAAGTTTAATATTTCGGATGAGATTCACAATCTACTTGATGCCCCATAAAAGCCTATGACCATCAATAGAGATATATCGTCGATTCAAATGAGAGAAAAAAATAAAAATGAAAATAACCATATACCCGTATGGTATGTCTCTGCATATCATCTGATTGGTGTAGATAGGATCATCAAGTTCTGGGATAAAGTGTGGTTTCTTCTTCGAAAATATGTCACTACACTGTGAATCTGAATCTGGCCAGAACCAAAGGATGCCATTTTGCACGCAACTCGGATAAACAGCTACACATGCTTTCTTGGAAGTATGAATCTGCATGATATTCATAGTAATAACTTTAAAACATAATGTTCAACCATTAACTATCTTGTACCAGGCCTCAAACAATCACAAAAACAGAAAGCAGGAAGTGACATGTTAAGAAAACCTATAACCTTCTGCAACAGGGCCTTTCATTAAGAAACACACGAGCTCACTTACTAAATAAGAGTATGCACCCAGCAAATATCTACATTTCTTCAATACAGAGTTCTAAGAGATCCTCAGTACTTATAATGCACGAGCATTCATGATTTGCAATTCTTAATTAAATAAAATTGTGGCAACTCTCTTAAGAATGGAAATGTCACATTAATTCTTTTACAATTCCATCTTTTAGTAGATTTTTAATTTCTACTCAATTTGTGTTGTATTTGTATCTATTAAAAAATTAAATTTTAACTTCACGTAATCATCTACTATATTTGAGAATTAAAAAAAAAAATGTGATCTTTAGAGCTTTCACAATTTTGATGTAAAGTCGACTTAATTAAAATTTCTAAACTCTTGTTATTGTTTTTATACTCTTGTTATTGGTTTTGATATATATTGTATTTTAGGTGTTCTTAAAAGTATAATTATAAATTATCTACGAAATTGTATTTGTCATCGATTTTTCTACTAAAATGATTTTTAATTTTTGTGAAGAATTATTACCAATAGAAGTTCACTAATGTTGGCATTGAAAGAAATATCCAGTGCAAAAAATATGTGTTAATATTTGAGAAGATTTATTTTATAAGATTAAAAATTATGTATTTATGGAGGATACAATATATATATATATATATATATATAAGAACATGCGGAGAATGATTATCATTTTTACTTTTATATTATTACTGTGTAAAAAATACGTTTGTGCCCCTGTGTAAAAAATACGTTCAGCACAAAGCATAATAATTCTTTTTTTTGGTACAGGGACCTTTCGGTTTCCGAATCCACAGGAGAACCGACTAATCCGAAATCGAGCCGGTTAGGACCACAAGAGCATAAAACCACTATGCCCTGAGTTCTCTTATGACCATTTTTAAGTTTTCTTCCCTTCAATCATGGTCATGGAACCAACCAAGCAAAACTGCATCAACATGAATGAAAGGCCAAACACACAACAAGATACTAAGGACCATTTTCTTTTCTTTTTTTTTTTTTTTAAACAAAAAATATATATATATAATTATATATATATATGATTAAGAAATAGTTACTTCACCGGAGGGCCGTCACGCGGGGCCTGAGGAATGAATTTACAGTCACCGGCGCCACCAAAGCACCAGCCATGATACACACACTGCAATCGCCCCCACTGATCGATCCTCCCTTCAGACAACGGAGCCAATCTGTGCGGACAGCTATCGGCAAACACCTTCCACGCGCTCTCATTTCTATCCCACCAAATCACTAAATCAATACCTATCACCCTCTTCCCATGTGGCCGTCTCTTGTCGAGATCGCACACCGGCACCACCGGGTACCAGTTGGCGTACCAGTCGAACTTCTCGTCTCTCTTTTCCGGTTGGATTTCCTGATCGGGCGACCGCAACTCCTCAGTCGGGGAAATGGCGCTGAAAACCCTGAAATTCAAGGTATTGCCGCGAATGAGCGGATAAGGTTTAGGGAAGGTCCGAGTTGGTGCAACGAACTTTTCGACTAGGATTTTGAGACTTCTCGGCGGGCCGTGAAGAAAAGAGAAAGTGGAAGCTTTGAGAGCTTCCATGGTGACGGCGGACGCCGGTTGTGTCACTGATTTGTTAAGGACTTGTAAATATATGTACAGATTTGAAAAGGAGATTATATAATATATACAGAAAAGTGAAGACGAAGGGTTGTTTGGCTGCCGAACCTATAACGTGCGTGTGCGGATGGCGAGAGAGTGTGTGGCTTGAAATTTTGCAGCAAGTTTATCCGAGTTTCTGCATTTTGATATTGTTTTATCAAAGTAGGTACCTAACGGTTATGGCTATGTTCAATTTCATTAGCTTATAAGCCCATTGTATTAAATAAGTCTTATTTGTAGGACAAACTTTTTTAAAAATCTCGAGTTTATTTTATAAATTTTTTTATATGACTTTTCAAATAAGTTGGTTGAATTTTTTATTCCAACTAGTTTATAAGCTAATTTTACCAATCACTTTTATCATATATAAACTAACTTTTCAGATATAAGTTATAAGTTATAAGCTATAAGTTCAAAAATTACTGTTAAATGATAAGCTAGCTTATCAACTAATTTTATCAAACATAACATATAACTTATAAGTAATAGTGTCTTGTGTCCCGTGTAAGACAAAAAGGGACAGCTCGGTTGGTAGCACCATTTACTTAGGATCAATAAGAGCATCCAAAACTCTTTTGGTTTCATTAAAAAATATATACAGGCCACGTAGGAAATAAACTCAGTCTAGAAAGATATATGTTCCAATGCAAGTACAAGTAGACTGAGTTCTGCAGATGTGACAGTATTGAAAAGAGATCGTTCTATCTATAAGTTTATTTTAGACTAAAGTAAGACCTAGTCCCTTTGCATTGGACTTAAATTTCTTTTTTTATATATATATTTTTGTCCATATCATTTAAGACTTGGGTCCATTTACATGTCACCTAAGCAAGATTAGACCCAAAGCATCGCAGATGCTCAAGTCCCGAGTTTGAGTCACCTAAAAGGTAAGTGAGAACCGTATTGATCCACTTTTAAAAAGAGGATAGTGATTCGTTTAATACTCGCAACTGGCAAGTGGCAATACAAGTTTATATAATTATCCTAACTATTCTTTTTTTTTTTTCTCTAACATCAAACTTCAATAAGAACTCAAAATATACAAAGTTCGATAACCAACGAATTACAACTAGCTCTCTTTTGACAAGAACCTCGAAAGAAACCCCAGAGGGGGAACATCTAACAAGAGTTCCCCTAAAAAGACCATGACGGCCCAAAGAAACACTAAAAAAACTAACAACAAAAAACACAAGAAACTACAAACAACTAGACAAAAAGGTACCATA